ATAATATAATGTAATATAATATAATACAATATAATATAATATACTAATTTTTTTAAATTCAATCCAATTAAACATTATTTAAATATATAGGTAGCTAAATAACATTTCTGGTAGCTTGAAATACTATCAGGATAGTTGAGATAGACCTTTGTGAATAAATTTGCTACATAAAGCTAAGTAGCGAAAAACAGAGGATAAATAAAAAATATGCCACAGAGCCCCGGTTGCTAATACGTATCTTATATATTTCATTATACAATATGCTTATTCATTTGTTCTGTTGTGGTGGGAAACGTAAGGCAGACTGATCTGCTTGATTTTTTTTTCTTTATTTTTTCTTTCCAGGTTTTTATTCTTTTTATTATTCTTGTTCCCGTGCTCTTCTTGCTTCCTCATTTCTTCTCTTTCATTTATTCTATCACGTTTATGACCTTTGCAGTCTTCAGTAGTTAGCGGAAGACCACGCAGATAGATAAACGCATTTTAGGTGCGAATCCGAAGGAAATCAAACACCCTCGTCGTCCTCGTGTTTATACAGAACCTCCGATGAAATAAAAGTTCTCTCAACAATGCGGGTAATTTTTGGTTCTTAACTTTATGACTACTGTAACTGAATAAGCTTAGAACTCCATGTGAATAAAATCGCTCCTCCACCATTATGGACTGCAAGTGTCACTTATTCGGTATTTAATATTTTGGATGATAACCGTCAAGCAGTGACTGTGATTATAACACGGGGAAGAGAGCTGATCGATAATGAAACTATCAATGTCAAAAACAAATGCCTCCTGAAAAAAAAAAAAAAAAGAACCCAGCACGATTATGATGGTTTTGCTGTTGTTTTTGGTGATGATAACGATGATGATGATGACAGTGACTATAATGATGAACATAAAGACAACCCCTTTTTATTTTACCATCAATACTACATCGGTTAAGCGCCCAAAAAATGCTGCACTTCAATATCCCTGAACAACACTTGAGAATTAGAAAAGGAGTGAAGGAGTGGTGGGGAGAAAAAGGAGAGATGGACGGGCAAAAAACAAAGTTCACTAAAGCTATGAGAAAAGAAAGAACTTTTTTCTCCCTCTTTCAATATTAATATTATAGGATTTGAAAAGCTTCTGCAAAAGCTTGATGATAATATTATGAAGCCCCTTAAAATTGCTTTTTGAAATTTAAATGAAAAAAAAGGGAACATTTCTGCTTCCTTTCAGGAAATCACTAAAATACACCTCAAAAACAAAAAAGTATAGGCAATATACATGCCTGTCAAAACCAATGAGACAATTTTTTGGCTTTTTCCTTTCTTGTCGTTCCTCCTTCTTTAAACTCCATTGATCTGTTTCTTCTTCCTCCTTGTTCGGTTTCCTTCCACCTCTATATACGACATCGCTTGTGTATCTTTTTCACTTACTCATCTGTCTTTTTTTTAACCCTCTCCACCACTCCCCCTCTCTCCTCTCTCCCCTAAAGCACCATCATATTTTTTCGCCCGCTGGGCAATAAAAGATGCTCCTCACACACTCCCCTCACGGGCGTTACTTTAAGCATCCAAAACCTAAAGAGCAGTGAAATCTCACACTAAATATTTCGTGCTTCCAAAGACTATTTTTATGCAGAAATTTCCTTTGAATGTTAAGTATACGTCGAAAAAAAAGTAAATAAATAAAAACAAAAAAAGTAACATTAACAATAGGACGTCATCAAAAACAAAAAAATAAAAAAAAAGAAACATTTAATTTTTTTTTTGTTTAACTATCAAAAGAAACAATCAAAACATACAAACAAACATGACAAGTGGTACTTCAAAAAATTTATTTATATATTCAAAAAGTCAATAGCAACAGCAGGAAGAACAAGAACAAGAACAAGAACAAGAACAAGAACAAGAACAAGAACGAGAACAACAAGAACAACAAAAAAAATAGAAACAGCAAAAACGACGTATCACCGTCACTCATCACACAGTTTCATCAAGAGCAAAAACAGTAACTAACAAATAACACAAAACCTGAGTTTTATCTAACCAGTACCATTATCCTCCCACTTTGAAACAGCTAATTAACTACACCCACTTCTCCTCCTCCCTATCTCTACCACCTCCCTGCCGCCTTCCGTATTCTGGATCCGTCATACTCCATTGTGCACGATAACAGTGCAGAATCCTTCCACTACAATCCACTCTCCAACCGTTAGCTATTCACGAGCAAACACTGTTCTATCCAAAAATTTTAGACTTTGAGCCTAAAACATTTATTAAAACCTCCAAAAAAAAACTAGCCACCATCAGTTGACGTCTCGACAACCCTTCCTACACAGCAGATGAAATTGCTTGAAATGCCCACAGGCAATACGATTGTTTTTCAAGAGGATTCAGCACAAATGATAGTCTTCCTCACTAATCAATGTTTAATGTTCATCGTACTGTACAAACCAAAAAAAATTCTTTTTAAACTCCAAAGACAATTAGATATGATTATTTACTAAAGCTTTATTTCTCTTTTACTAGTGGCGGATTGATCGCCATTTTTTGACCGGCCTATTAGCAAAAAGAAATTAAACTACACAATAATAACTTGTGCTTCTTCAACATCAGTTATACCCTAACCTTATCTTCCGCTTTTGTTATGATGATTACTGATACTGAAAGTAATGACACACATTACTAGTGGAAATATTTACTAGAGAATCACTTTGCAGCACCCCAACAAATTATTTGAACAAAGTAATAAGGCCAGTGCAAGTAACACAAGAATAAAACTATTCTTCAATGGAAAAATAACGTCAACACGCGACTTACAAAAGATGAGGAATGCTTCTCAAATTTTCCTAACAACAGATGGTTCAAAGCTAGCATTAACGCTGGTAAATTATGAGGTTACTTTGCGACTTTTAACACAAAAAATGACCCTTTCAAACCAACACGCATCAATTTCACAAAAATTTTACCTATTTGAAAAAAAAAATTCAAGAAAAAAAAGAGAGCAAAGACAAATGCAGCAAATCTGGCAAGTTTCAAGGAAGAAATTTCAAACAGTATATACATTACGATCTAAACACACGCCACCAAGAGATGACCAAATTTAGTACTGAATATGTACCGAGTGATAAATATTTAAAAGTGAGTAAGACAAACAGCAAATTAGCAAAAGTCCTTTCGAAAATAAAACTTCTAAATATTTAAAGAATCTCAAAATATCATATAATTGAAGTAACAGTCACAAAAACGGTGTACCGCACTACAAGGACTTGGTTCTCCGCTAATTTTTTTGGTGAAAGCAATCTTGTATTATCAAGTTTCAAAGTGGTAGAAATACTCCTTGGTCACTATTAAGCAACCTTTTGTTAGAGCAAGTCATAATATTGCAGAAACAGTTTAAGCAACCAACCCGTCTATTCCACTGCGTCACGTGCCTGACGAAATTTACAAACAACTGAAAATAACCGACCACCTAAACGATCAGCCAACCACTTTGTTTTGATCACAGCTACCTGAAAATCTCCTCATGAAAAATCCTAAATTAACAAAAAATTCTGCGTGACAGCATAAAACTGTAGAAAACAACTAACCCTTAAAGAATCACAGGTAAATTCAGCTTCAAAATTGGTATGAATAGCACGGCCCATACCTTCTATAACTATTAAGTCTACACCGCTCTTAGTCGCTAAATCACAGAGTGATGAATTCACACGCCTAGAAATAAAATATTACCAAAGACTCAAGAAGAATTTTCAGAAAAAGACCAACCTTAAGTCTAAACATGGAGACCCTTGACCATTGTCAGAAACTAAAAGCAATTTAGCTTCCAATGCTTCCGCTAACACGCTATCTATTTGTGAAATCCTTCCCAGTAGAACAGTCAGTTCCGATGCCGTGATATCATTTAAGGCAGGAGATGAATTGCAAGCTATGATTACCTGAGAAATGCGCAGAGAATTTCATTGTAAAAAACCTTGAAAAAACAAAAAATAAAAACAAGCATAAAAGAACTTATAGCCAAAAAGCATCAACAAATTACTCTGATTAAATAAAAACCTTTGTTCCACACTTTAAGAACTCTCGAGCAAAAGGTATTACGCCAAGAACAACATCGGCTCCACTGTTGTCAACAAATAATAGAACACAGCGATACTTTTTTTTCTGGAACGCGTCAAGCCATTCATCAAGATCATCAATTAACCACCTACGTTCTGAATGTAGAATGTAGCTAGTACAGTCTAAACCGAGCAAGGCAGAAGCAGATAAAGTAATTGAAAAATCAGACTGCTGAAAGAATAAAGTAATGCCGTTTTAATATTTAGAAGATACAATTGGATGTCTAACCTTGTAACGCAGCGGTAGCAGACTGAAAAGTAAACTGACAACTTGAACTCTCTAACCGCTTTACGACTTCCTTAGCGCCCCAGTCAAATACATTACCAGCAAGTAGTCCTCTCATCACAGTATATTGGCGTTCTCTCGAGTCCTCTATACGATCTACTTCTACTAGAACATCGTGTAATTCGCATAAAGCCATTTCATTTTCAACCCTTTTTTGCTAAAAATCACTATTACTTCTGGTAACTTGTCGCACATCGTTGTATTTACAGTACACCTAAACCTCCACACAGTCCCTGAGAACCCCTTCAAAAATAAGATAGCAAAAAGTGGAAACCCCATTCCAGCTTACATGTAAGTAGGCATCGTCAAAGTAATACTCGTTCAGTAGCTGCTCCCTCAAATCTAGTAAATTCCGAACATTACAGCAACCATAAGCGCTGAAATAATAATTAAAAGGCGGAACTATTTTTGGTGTTTTCAAAACATCGCTCTGCTTCGTAAATAATTCAAGTTGCTTAGTTTACTAATTTTTGCTCTTTGCCAATATCCAAATCCTTGCACAGTAAGAATTTCGAAACAGTATTAATGACATAAAATGGAATGTATACAATGGCTTCTCCCTCAGTATTGTTAGATAACTGAGATATTTTTTTTTCACCGAATCGGCACGCTCCTCCACATTTGAACAATTAAACTGCGACTCTACAGCCTTCGATACTGTCTGCAAAAAAGCAATTTGAAAAATAAAATTCATTCTGTCTCAAAAGAAAATCAAAAAGCAGGAAGCTTGCGAATGTAAATAAACCGAAACTGGAACAAATAAGCATTGTATACACAACCTTCTCAATGCTATCAGCCATGCACGATAACCAAAACTCTCTTGCTTCGCGATCGTGGTTTAACGACACTGTGTCGGGACAATAAACAACCGAATTTCTTAATAACGGAAAAGAACATAACTTCATGTCGCAACATTCTAACTCAAGAACCCCCACCTATAAATAAAAGTTTAAAACACTGTTTTTTTTCCAGAAGAATCTTCGAAATTACTTATACGCTCTGCTCTTTTCAAACACAGCACACGACACTTGCTTCTTAATTAGAAAATTTAACTCACAAGTTTTTAAAAAAACTATATCAAGAGAACAAATTATTTAAAAAATTTACACTGCTAAACCAAAAGGCAAAACCGAAACCCTTGCAATTAAAGAAAAAAGCACCAGAAAATGACTCAAAAAATCATTGGAGAATATTGAAATCATAACAGATGAAACACTGAAATCACCAAAATATCTTTTCTATAGGGTAAACAAAAGGCCACATTTATTTTCAGTGATCAATTCTCCACATCGTTCATGCACCAAATCCTCTTTTAAGTTAAATTAGCAAAAAATTTTAAGCCTAAAAAAACCCCGTACTTTTTAACAAGTAGTTAAACTCATCAGTTCGTGCTCATTTAAATCAGGCACCGCAGTAACAGTTTAAAATTGCATCCTACACACAGCAAAGCCCTAAACGCCTTCAAGAACCCGTGCAAGCAATTTAAATAACAACTGTTAGAAAGCAAAAAACACCTCTTATTTATATATTATTTATATTTCCAAGTTAAATCTCGGTAGAAGACAATTAAAAAAAAATTAGGAATCTCATTAAAAAACAAAGAAGAAACGACCAAAAGTGTTCACACATTAAATCCAGAAGACAATGGGGCAGTTGGTACGAAGCGCCCAAGTTCGGTACTCCCAGTATAATGCTCCTTCCATGAAAACTTATAAGACATGTCTGAAAAAAACTTAAGCCCTTACTAAGAACTGAAACGAGTGAAGGCATCAATTCTGGCTCAAGAAAAGCAGAGAATGACAAACAAAGCCTTAGCAATATAACCTCTTACCTGCATCTTGTGGATACTTTTCATTGTGCGTTTCTAGACCTAATAGAAATGCTCCTATTACGGCAGTGTAGCTTTCATGGCGTAAAAATTGAGCCTGCATTTTCCCCTAAAATCATTTTCTGTTTAAATTCGCAACCCACACTGGCTGCAAGAGTGGAAAATGACACCAAAATTAAGTTGCGTCGCCCGTACCTTACTCCAGTATTCAACAGCAAAACTTAGAGTCCTCATGACGATAGGATGATTCCTTACAAAAAAACCTCCAAAGTAAATCCGATTAGCTGGTTTTGAATCTGAATACAATACTGCAATCTAAAACTAACGCAGTATTTAAAAAATTCAAACTTAATAACAGACCACATAAAAATCTCAAAAAATAACCTCTCTCAAAAGATAAGAAACTTGGTATGATCTTGAAATCTAAAAAAACTTGCTTGCCCCAGGCTGTTGCTTATCATAAGTAACAAGCTGCGTAGAACATTTCTTTTATAAGTAGGATCCTTTCTGACCTTGCTCACGAAATCTGCATTAGCACACTAAAAAAAGTATGTCTGGAGTCTAATCTCACTAGCTAATTTATTCCGGAAATCACAACAAGAAGGAAGAAAACAGTTGTGCACTAAACCTTCCCAAATGAACCCGCGATAAGATCCTCAGTTAATCCAAGTTTACGAGTGCGACCTTCATAAATGTCTGAAACGAGAACATCCATGTTCCTGTGATCCCCCTCCTCGGCCATTTGCATAAGAATATCAAAATCTAAAATATTTTCAGTCCTAATTGAAAAAAGTGAAACACTCAAGAAATCTCTAAAAAAGCAATAAAGACTTGAGTAACTGTTCAATGAAAACAGTGAAATCACTAAAATACAAAAATTTGAGTTTAAGAGAAAAGAGGATTACCAAATATATCTGTGAGAAGACTTCCGAGACCAAAAAATGAACCGCCTCCAATTGAACTCCCCCCAACACGCTCAAACTTCTCATCACTTTCAACCTCAATTAGAAATTAAACTTTAATAGGTATGTATCAAAACCGAAATTTTTATAGAATCATCGCCATTTCATACATTTAAAAAAAACTGATATTTTTGCTAAATTCTCTTCAAAATAAGCAGCAATAACCCATACTCGATAAATGCATGTTCCAGTCCCAATGTTCACTAACAGATACGGAAAACTTGGCTTATTGTTAATAGCTTCGAAAGAATATTTGCAAGTTTCGCTGTGATGATCATAAGTGAATGCTTCGTCACAAAGGTTATTCAACAAAAAATTATTCCCACGAACTAAACAATCCATATCGTCCACTTTCCTAAACCTGGAAAGTCTTCTCATCAAACCCTGACAGAAAAATACAATGCTAAGATAACACAAAACAGATACTCTCAAATAAAACATAAAGATCTTACTTACTCTACTCGCAAGGCATCAGCGATAGTCCTTTCATACTCATTTGTGCCAGCCCCTGCACATGCAGCTGTCCTTCTTGAAACTGAAGCACATTCCTAAAAGAAAAAGATTCAGTAATCAACCACCAATAATGAAGAATATGAGAACTATAAAAAAAAAGTATTTTCTTCACGCAAGAAGTTGTCACTAACGAACCTTCTGTATGAAATCGAGACACTCTTTGAACTTTTCAATACGGAATTGAATAAAATGAAGACGCCTTCCAGCAGCACCGTTTTTTTTTATCTGAAAGATCACTAGCAACAATGTATAAATACCACCAAGTCACTTGAATAAAATGAATCAAATTACAGCTACTTCGTAAAAAAAAAAAACAAAGACATACATTTTAAAAGGAATTCTAGTTCTCTCCGGAACACTTGGGAAGTAAACCGCTAATGTGACATGTGAGCAGAGTTTAAGCCACCTTCCCCCAGTCATACGTCCAAAAAGTTTATGCTAATTTCACGGCTCAAGGAACCTAATTGGTTTTGACGATACAGGACACTATCAAAGCAAGCAAAACTCATGTTGACAGGCGCAAAGAACACCAGAACCCACGTTTTGAAAACTGGAGTTTGGCACTCCGGACATCTAATAGATGCAAAATTAGGTCTAATAAATGCCTCAACAACTATGAAAATTCCATCTATACGCAAATCAGGATATTTAAAAAAAAATGATAAAAAAGGAACTTCAAATAAATATGAAACTGCTAGGAAAATTGCAACATTGGCTATTAACGAGATGGAAAGAGGCTGTTCAAAGAGGCTGATCATGGCTGTTCACGTAAAAAAATTTGCACTATTATTTCCTTTATCGATTGATCTTGCCCACAAAAAGACTGTTTTTCGTGACTATAAATTTTGAAGCTAAATACCTAACCTGGAGACGTATCTAAAAAAGTTAAAAAAGGCGGTTAACCTTACAATCCACGGTAGTTACTGGCCGCGAAACTGTTGATGAGTATGCAATCTTAACCAAACTTAAGCCAATGTCAAAAGCAAATTGTTTTGCGTTCTGTAAACCTTGCAGTGTATTTTCAATTGTTGATCGACTGTCAACACTATCCTTGCTGTCTCCGGCCATGAATGTATCCCCTGATCAAACAATTTTTCTAAAAACAAGAAAACTACATAAAACACACAACATGTAAAATACATGATTATTTAACGATGACAACAGGAGAAAAAGAGATTCAATGTTTTTCTTGGTCAAAGCGTGAAATCTCATGATGTATATACAAAATGACATTCTGCAAATATGACAACGAAATGAAAGAAATAATCAATACATAATTCAATGTTTTTTCTATCAATTAACAATAGGTAACATGTAAAGCCAGAAAAAAAGCTCTTTTCCCTTGATAGTCGAAAAAAAAAAAAAACAGAAAAAGCAGCTTTTTTACAAGAAATTATTGCTGAAAAAAGTGTTGCTACACTGAAAAACGAACATTTGCCAACGATCATATCAAAATGCATAAACTGTTGTGTAATTCTGTTACTACCGAACCTTCTGTATGAAACTTTTAATACACTCCATGGTCAGTGTACCAAAACAAAAAGGAAAAAAAAAAAAACAAAAAATTTATAGTTTTTATGTGAAACAAAGTGCAAAATTTAACACTTATATACTGTCTGAAGCGACCAAGATCTTAGACAAGAGAAAATAGCAACTAAACAACCACCTACCACCCTCTAATGTTATTAATGGTTTAAAAATGCTATCAACCCTGCAAAAAAATGTTGCAGATCATCCGTCCTTATAACCGTTTCAAGTGAGTGCAAAATCCAAGTTCAAATAGTCTTAGAACAATTTTCCATTCTTTTTTTTTCTTTTTTTTTTTGCTTTTTCTTTCTTTCTATTGAAAGATAAACATCAATAAGGCAACAATATAAAATG